CGTGGGTCTGAATTGCTTTCCAGGCAGTTAGAAATGGAACATTTCTTGGGACCATTTAATTTTCCTTTACAAATGAACAGTGAGGAGGGGGAAAAAAAAAAGGCAAACATTCTCATCAGCGTTCCTCAAACTGCTCCAGGTGCATCCCACCTCTTCAAACAGTATTTCTGCATGCGAACTCTTGCCCACAATGGAGACCAGTTTGCTTGCAGCAGAGATTCCCATGGCAACACCACCTGAAGCTGGGAATAACAGGCATGATGGGCAGTCCTCCAAATTCTCCATCCCGCACTAGCTTCTGCCGTTTGCCAGCCCCAGGGCCTCGGGTTCATGATGCTGCCTGTTCAAGCTTCGGTGTCACCATCATCCAAACTTGAGCTTGCAGTGATCGTTCGTCCTTTGCTGCCTCTTTGTGAATGACTTCAGATGGGAAAAAAAGACACTTAGAATGATTCTTGATGCATGTTCACCATTATGACTCATTCGCCAAACCTCTTGGCGATCAGTAACTCTGTCGGACTCGAGGCAGAAGCTGCAAGCTCTCTCTTTGGTATCGCGTGAAATAATTAGAGACAGGTGTGTCCATCCAATGTTTGATATGTCGCCTCTGATTTAAAGCACCAGTGCGCTCATATGTGTGGTGGAATCAAGGGACCACTCCAAAATAGGTGACTGACTTGCCTCGGATATTTGACTAGAATCTTCTGCCCTAGCTAACTGGCCTACTTCCCTTTCTCCCTGGGCTGGTCAAGCTGTTCTGATTGTAAGTGAATGTTGGCTAGTGTCAAACAAGCACCAAGGGTCCAGGAAGAAGCAATGTACTATTCATTTAAGATCCCCACCCCTAAAAAGCCACATCCCACTGGCAGGGACAGAAGAACACATGTTGGCATTTGCAAAGCCATTTTCTGAACCCCAGAGCAGTAGAAACAAAACATCAATAACTATTATCTCATATATTTAATTTAATAAGTATGACTGAGTGTTAACCACCAGATAGACACTGTTAACCACTGATAAAATAGAGAGGTGAGTTAAATATCGTTATTTTGAAAAGATATTTCTTTTCTATGCATGAGCATTTTGTCTGCATGTGTGCCCACACTACACTACAAGCATACCTGATGCCCACAGGGATCAGGAAGAGATCTTCAGATCCCCTGGAACTAGAGTTACAGATGGTTGTGAGCTACCATGTCAGTGCTGGGAACTGAACCCGGGTCCTCTGCAAGTGCCCTTGACCTCTGAGTCACTACTTCAGGCCCCTCAAAAACCATTCTTGATCTTAGGCTCTTTATGTTCCAGCTGGGAGACCTGACAAGCTAACTTTAGTACCTAAAATAAATATGAAAATGAAAGTTTCCTAAGAGTGTGCCAAACAACCTTCTGTTTGCAAAACAACGCCGGGGCCTGAGACCATTCCTGTCCTTTTCTGAATTTTGTCTAGAGGAGTCCCTTGGCACAGTCAGGCTGTTGGGTATGGGGTTACAGATGTATCTGTCACGTAAACTGTGTGACCCATCAGGCCATCAAATTAGAATGCCTGCGTTGGTCCAGCTCTGATCATCTGGAAACCCTACCTCTGCCGAGCATGTCTGAAGGCAAGCCTCATGTCTGCGGCAGGAAGCAACCTTCATGAAGTACAGAAACTGAAGTGAAACTTGGAACCAAGTGGCCAGGGCAGGCAGTTTCTGATCTGCTTCCCTCTCTGACCTCTGCCACGCCCATCCCCCCACCTCCCCACAGCCACCCTCCTCCCCGTTGTGCTTTTTATGGGACTTGGACTCTTCTCACAAAGTCCTGTGGTTCCTTTGTCTAAGCTGACCAGCCCAGAGTTTCTGTCCTGTAGAGTGAAGACACTCTTTTGGGCTTTGGGTGGAAGTTAAGAGTCCTACACCTCTAGTGGGCTAAATTGAAAAACTCTGGAGCGGCAGGGGAAGAAGAAATGCTTTAGGACATTCGCCCAGAAGGCAAGGACAGGCTGAACCAGAGGAAGGGAAGCAGCCAGTCCCAGGCTGTCAGTGATGACACTTCTGCAGGGGCCTAGCTCTACCTTTCTCAAAGGTGGACTGACCGCCAACAGTGTTTGTGAAGCCAGGACACAGCAGTCAGCTTCTACTGAAGTTGCTGAGTCTTCCGGAAGAGGAACTCAATGAAGTGAATCCAATTACTTCACACATGCACACATGCACATGCATGCACACACTGGGGCGGAGGGGTGATGAAAGGAGGAGGGAGGGAGGGAGAGAGGGAAGAGGAGAGAAAGAGGGAGGGAGTAATATAAAGAGGACTTAAGGCATGTTGCTGGAGAGATGGCCCATCCTGCTCTCCTTGCAGAGGGCCAGAGTTTGGTTCCAAGCACCCACTGCCTGGAACTTCAACTCCCTGGGATCTGACACACTCTGACCTCTGCAGACACCAGCACGCACATGCACACACATCCATGCACACAAATGCAGACAGACAGACAGACAGACAGACACAAACACACACGCAAATAAAATCTTTTTTAAAAAAAAATCCAAGTTCTCAAACATTTAGTCATAATGAATTTCATTTAAGGACTTTTAAATGTTCTTTATCAGAGAATAATATCTGGTTTTGTAATCTTTCCACAAGCACCCTTTATCTGGTGCACAGCTCAGCCTTGAGAAGGAAGTTTAGCTGTTTGTATCAGTAAGAGGAAGAACCAAAGCACAGAAGAGCTGCACTAGGTCAGCAGGTACAGAGGGGCAGGGGACGGCCAGTCCAGCCTGGTCTTGGTTGGTGAGTCCAGGACTCCTTCCTCAGTGCGGGAGCGGCTGCCTGGCATAGCAGTGAGGGTGTTTATTGGGGAAGCAGTGTTCACACAGCCCTGAGCTCACCCAGTGTCTTCCGAAGGGAGCAGTGTTCACACAGCCCTGAGCCTACACTCAGACTGCTCTTGATTTAGATAGCTGAGCTTTCATTCTGACCCCCACCCCACATATGACTGATGCATTCTCAGAAAGGGTCACAGTGATTTAAAAAAAAAAAGAAAAGGGAAAAAAAGCACAGACAATGTGCAGGAGCAGGCCTGAACCCTCTGATAACTGCCAAGCCATTTGTCATCGTGAGCCCAGTGCTATGGATGTGAATAGGATACATAAAGGGGCCTGGATCTTGTTCTTCTCAAAGGCAGCATCTTTTGTCTTTTCTACCTACCCCTCCCACTTTGTGACAGCCAGAGTATCTGATTGTACAGTCAGTCATGTGTATGTAAGCACTGAACGGTGTTTTGGAGGGTACCATTATCATTAACGTTCTGGGCTTTCGCACCACTGAGAAGCTATTTTTCTGTCACTATTTGCCCCTCTTTTGTCCCAATTTGATGTCTATTCTTTCCATGGTTGTTTCAACTCATCTACTCAAAGATGGCCACCTATGGAGACTGCCACTCCCTTCCCTGCCTTCTGTCTTCTGCCCTTCTTTATTCGTTTGTTCATAATGCATTTTATACCAGAAATGCATTGACCTTGTGCTTCTGATCCTCAGACTGGAACAGGAAGAACAGATGCCCTGTGTCTGCTGTTGTGGCCCCATGGCCAGCACAAGTATTTGGCACTGGGCAAAGCAAATGACCTGGTGATTGAATTACTTATGGACATCGGGTCTTGCACAGTTCTGAACATAACTGCTATAGGAAAGACCCTCTTAAAATAAAAAGCAAGAAGGAGGCTGGGGCTAGAAACGGGCTCTTGCCTAGCCCCTCTGAGACCCTGGATGTGATCATTAACAATCCCACCCCCACCCCAGAAAATTAGCAAGAAGCCATTGCAATAGAGAAAAAGAAAAAGCCTTTGACTTTCTTTGTAGTCAAGTCTCTAGTTTCTGATTGACTGATCAGTTAGGGAAGTTTACGGAATGGGAAATGTCAGAATGCCAAGTCAGAAATTCTCTGAGCCTCTGAATGATGTTCTCAGGGCCTGCTTGTCTGGGCGGACCCTCCTCTCTGCCTGGCCCCCTCTTGTTGATGGAAGCCGAAGCAATTGCAAACAAGCTTCCATCTGCTTGTGTAATACTCACCCAAGTCCCAGGCTCCCTTGGGGTGCTAGAAGAGCATGGGGAGAGGCCTGAGAGGCCATGATTTTGAGGCCCATTGATGTTTGTGTCTATTCTGCTCTTCAGGAAGGGCAGCAGCATAGACCTTCCCCAGGTCCTGTGCTTTGTCCTAATGGCTTTGCTAAAGTCCATTTGCAAATTTCCTGATTATTGCTTCAGGTCTAGCTCAATCATCAAGTTTCTTGTGAAAGCTTTTCTTTCTTTCTTTCTTTCTTTCTTTCTTTCTTTCTTTCTTTCTTTCTTTCTTTTTCTTTCTTTCTTCCTTCCTTCCTTCCTTCCTTTCTTGTTTGTTTGTCTGTCTGTCTGTCTGTCTGTCTGTCTGTCTTTTTTTCCTGGTTTTTCGAAACAGGGTTTCTCTGTGTAACAGCTCTGGCTGTCCTGGAACTAGCTCTGTAGACCAAGCTGGCCTCAGACTCTGAATATTCACTTTGTCCACATTACTCTACAGATTCATCACCCTGTTCATTTAAATGACTATATTGATTACTCACCTGAATCATGTCACGTGTCTCTGCATCCAAGTTATGTGCCTTGTGTGAAGCTGGTACTCTCTGGATGCTGAGAAGACCAGTAAGCACCTGTGTATGACAGTAGACGAGGTGGCAAGAAGGCTCAGATGGGAAGACAGAGCACTTGCTTCACAAGCCTGGTGACCTGAGTGTTACTCCAGGAGTCCCACGGTGGAAACAGAAAACTGCCTTCAAAAGTTGTCCTCAGACCTCCACATATCACACACACACACAATCACACACATACACAAACACACAATCACACACATACAAACGCACACACTCAAAACATTAAATAAATAGACTTTACAATCCTGTCAGTCATCTAGCTAACAATTGGGTCTTCCCTCGGGGTCATATTGGATTAATTATATGTATGTGTTATATATGTATATTTCTGTTTTCATTCAGGGACTCTGATTGTTTTGAAACATCCTTATCCAAGAAAAGTAGAAGAGCCTTCCATTTATGAATCAGTCCGGGTCCACACAGCAATGCAGACAGGAAGAACGGAAAATGACCTCGTGCCCACTGCACCTTCTGTAAGTGCCCACCATGCTCTTCGCTGAGTGTCGTCGGATGTAGCAAGAACTAAAGTTCATGGGCTCATCTGAACGTTCTAGCTTGGAGCCCACCTATTGGCACACACACTCATAATCCCGGCTCTTGGGAACCTGAGACTTGAGAATTGCTGTGAGTTCAACCCTGGGCTGAATAGGGAGTTCCTTGTCAGCCAGAGCTGTCGTGTAGCACCCTGTCTTGAAAAGCGAACAAACAGAGAAACAAAAAATGACAAAACAGTATGTTCTAGAGGGAGTATAAAAATTGGATAGTAATATAATATTGAAGGCTCTAATTTGGTCCTTCTGGTCTGATAAAAATTAAAAACAAAATGAAACAAAAAACAACCCACAAATGCTTTGGCTAAGTGTAGCTCAGTGTTTCAGTGCTTGCCTGGTATTGTGAGGTCCTGGATTTTATCACCAGAAATACACACACACACACAGGGAAGAAAGGATGCCTTAGTAATAGGATTTGAAAACTTAGAGAACCTCACCGACATGAACCACACAGGTTCTTTGGAGAGTAAACAAGAGAGGTACTCACCGAGTTCACTAAGCGGCCATTCTTTGACAGGCTGCTTAAAACCTAGAAAAACAATTCCCTTCGCATTTCAACCGTTCATGAAAGAAAAGCCTTCTCCAGCTTTACCATAAGACTTGGGGTACAACTGAGTATGGAGGTACACGCCTTTAGTCCTGGCACTCGGGAGGCAGAGGCAGGCAGGCAGAGTTCAAGACCAGCCTGGTCTAGAGATTGGCTTCCAGGAGGCCAGGACTACATAGAGAAACCCTGTCTCGAAATACCAGAAAACAAAAGCAAGACAAAACTTGGGGTGCTATTTTTCTAACCTTCATTCTTCACTGACTAGCACCCACAGAAAATATTCATACTTCTTTGCAACATGAGTCCCCCCCTTTAATAAGCATGTTACAGAATCGCTCGCTCGTTGTTCCTCCCAGAGTCCACCGGTGCATGTTCTGTGAACCAGTCTGTGGGTTCCTCCTGCACCCGCTCCCTTCCCCATTCTCACGGTTCTTCTACATGCTATCTCTTCCTGGCATGCCTAAAGCTTCTAGTAGGAGGAGTCTCAAGTTTTGCTGATGATAAGAAAGGGCGATGCCCAAATAAAACACCGAGTCTGCACTTGAAAAACAGCCTCTTGCAATTATGCCAGCTACCAACCTCATCAAACCGACGGGGCCTTCCTATCTCTGAAGTGATTTTTTTTCTTCTGTTCTTTGATGCCAAAGAAGGCTTCCTTATATGTACCACACTGGGTGTGATGGTGAGGTAGGCAATTCTAACACCAGGGAGGTTAAATTTGTAGCAAGATGCTGTGCCCATAAAAGAGGAAGGAGGTCTGAAGTATAACTCAGTGGGTAAAGCACTAGTTACACAAGCTGAGGACCTGGGTTAAGATCCCTATACCCATGAAAAAGCAGGGCTCATTAACATACATGTTCTTATTCCCTGTGAGAGGTGAGAGGGAGAGGCAGGGGAGCCTCTGGGCGCCTCAAGTCCAGCTAGCCTTGTGTATGTCTCTAAAGTGAAAGGCGAAGACACTGAAGGTTGCACTTCAACCTCTATATACATACTGAAGCATGTATGTGCACACATGCAAGCACACACATGCAACGTGTACACAGGAATAATTGCTTGTGTGTTTTTGTAACTTGAATAGTTAACCAGTGTGCCTTATTTTTTTTTACCATTTTTCTACAACTTCTCAAAAATTAGTTAAGAAAGATGTGTGTGTGTGTATGTGTGTGTGTGTGTGTGTGAGAGAGAGAGAGAGAGAGAGAGGATGCGTACGTGTGTACACTTGTGTGCAGGGGAGGTGTCTTTAGTAAAGGGTTGGCAAAAGGAAGTATCAGATGTTAGAACCAGAGAAATCCAGGAAAGCAGAGTCAGTGGCGCACATTCCAGAGTCAGAGGGGACCAGACCATCTCCTACCTTCTGCTCAGTTCTTGTTTTCCATCCCCCAGCCCCTTCTGTTTCCTCTTTCCTTATTCTTAGCTCTCTAGCCATCACAAAGCAACCTCCTGTGTCTGCTGTCTGCCTGACTCCGCAGTCTCCTCTCCTGGACTTCTTCTGGTACTGAGAAAAAGCATTTTCCATACACTCCGGTCACACTCCCCCTCCCCCAACTCCTCCCAGATCCTCCCATCTCCCTACCCACCCAACCCACGCCCCTGCTCCCTCTTTATGAAACAAACAAAAAACAAGAAATGTACCGTGAAAACAAAACCCCGAATATACAAGCGAAATGCGAAGAAGAAAAAAAAAATGCCCCAAAAGCAAAGTGAGAAAAAGTCTACAAAAATACCAGTAAGTTTGCTATGTGTTGGCCAACAGTTCCCAGACATGAGGTTGACCCTCAAGTGTGGTCAGTAAACCAGGGAGATGCCATTGAAGACAATGGACTCTTCCTTTGCAGCAGGTATCTGTTGCAGGTAGTTTCTGGGTGAGGGTTGGGAACCTGTGTCCACCTTCCCCTCTCAGGCTCTCCTAGCTGATTCGCGGTCAGTGGGATTCATCTCCTACAAGTATCTTCTTTCAGTAGTAAGAGTCAGCCAGTGTGTAATCTGTAGCTTTGGTCTTAGCAGGTAAGACTAGGACCCGTTAGAGCAAATTATGGAGGTCATATACTTTCTGCTTACTCCATGTGTCAGACGGTTCACCTGCCCATGTATGTGACACTGGAACACAGGAGGGAATTTTTAAGCAGTGTTTAGTGCTCGGTCAACAAGGAACACAGATTATATCATGAGAAACCCACGAAATTGATTATGTACTGATACCAGCCAAAACAGTAAAGACTATTTAATAGATACTGAGCCGTATCTCATGGCTTTGAAATCCTGGAATTTCTTGGCTTACGGAATCCTGGATTGGCATGGTCGAGGGAAGAGTTCTGGGCAGATGGGAATTCTTGTCCCCTACTGAGCACAAGGGCTCTCTGTGCTCTAATTGTCCCAAGGAGCCATCTGATGTGGCACCTCTGTCTCCCAATTACAAGCTCTGAGCTGTCCACACTTCCGTTTTCTCTCTGGAGAATTCAGTTCCTGCCTGAGCCCTCACTGTGGAGAAAGAACATTGCATCATACCTATAGAAGAACTTGCTTGAAGTAAAATCGAAAGTATCCCCATTTCCCCCAAAAGGAGGCACTTACATAAAAAACACTCTTTGTCAGCTACATTTAGGGAAATTGTTATTCGTGTATTGTAAACAGTAAAGCATTAGGTTCCTGGGATAAGGTTAATTTAATTAATTTAATTGTTGAACTGTTTGAAGTGCCCACCATAAACCCATCTTTAAGTGCCTTGAGTTTTGCAGTAACCTAGACAAAGACCCACCCTCACTGAATTCCCATTTTAGTGCACGTTGTAGACCATAATCAGCATAATATTATAATACCAAGGGGAGGACAGGGCAAGCCTCTCTGAGGAAGTAACATTTGAGCAGAAATGTCATTTAAAGGAAGTAGAAAATGTGCTATGTGTGTATATGAAATTGTCCACAAACAAAATCTTTTTTAAAAAAAAATAAAGGAAGAACAGTTCACATTCAAGGAGTAACAAGATAACAGGGAAAAGTGCCACAAAGTCCCCGCAATTCCACTGAGGGGTTTCAAGGACTAACAAGGTCAGCAATGCTGGGGGGAGTGAGCCAGGGGGAACCTGAGGCTCAAAAGCAGGAGAGAACCAGAGGGAGCTACTTCCCAGCTGGAGGAAGGCTGAGGAATCACCGTGGCCTGAATGTCAACTGTCTGCTTCACTGTCCAGGGCCGAGCCTTTGCTCTGGGTGTGGACAAAGCTGAAGAGCGTTAGTCACAGCATTCAAGTCCTCACCCTTTGAAAGGGAACCCCTAACTGCCAGTGTTCAGTGGACCTGAGGCTAAGTTAGGGGCAGGAGACCTCATAGGACATAAACTGGTCACCTTTAAGATACTGTGAAGGTCTAAGACAACCTGATAATAGACTGTGTGTGTCCATGTGTGTCCCTCACGTGTGGGTGTGCTGTGTGTGTGTTTAAGTTCCTCACTACAGAGTTATATATATTTAGCTATACCCTGTGAAAATCTTCCATGCGTTATATTGTTTCCTAAAATAAAATTAAGTAAATTTCCTACTATTTTATTATTGAGTATATCAGTTTACCTAGAACAGTCATCCTGTTGAGGTTTTTTTTTTCATGGCATTTTAAGATCTGAAACAATTTCAAATTTACAGAATAACTGAAAGAACAATCCAAAAAGCTTCGTTTTTCCTTAGTCATTTAAGAATACATTGCTTATAGGATGCCTGATCATTTTGAACATTGCAGTGTGCATTTCCTACAAACAAAGACCCTTGCTTATATGACCACACCCAACCATCCAAATTAGGAAGTTGCTATGCCACAGATCCACGTATTTGTATCCACAGATCTCAGTGACATTTGTTTCCCAAGGCAGTCCTTTAGAGCACAAAGATCCTGTCCTCAGTTTTGTGGTTCCTGTCTCTTGAGCGTCCTTCCTGTCTGAACTCCTGCTTTTCCTTCAATCTCCTCAACTCTCATATATGAAAACTAAAGGTTAATCCTCTTGTGAACTATTCCCCATGTTGACTTGTCTCTCATTGAGTCGTGATTAGTTTAGGGTGTGTGGTTTGGTAGAGACACCACGAGGGACCCTTGTGCCCCTCCTGCCTCCTCAGACCCACCAGGTTTACAGTTTCGCCCATGAGGACAGGTTTGATCAGGTGAGAGGTATCGCTGGCTTTCTTCACTTTAGAAGCACTTTATTGTTTTTGTTATTAATACAAATTCCAGGAACGCTACTAGGGATGAATACGCATACTCTTCCTTGCTAAAATTTGTTCCACTGGTTGGTGTTTATTAGCTTCCTTAACCACAGCTCTGGTTACTGAGAGTGGTGAGCTCGGATGTTCTTGGTTTTTTTATGTTTACTCCAGCCAGGCTGCCATAAGGCCAAGCTCTCCATTTCTCACATGATCCAGTGTTTTGTGTATAAATGAATTAAGATCCTGACCATCACAATTTATTTTGACCTTTCCAAAATTGTGTGGTATTTGGTGAGTAAGAGCCTTTTCAAGGTGGCTTCTGTGTCTATGGCCTCCTGATGTTTCAGCAAGGTGCCCGAATGTCCACACAAAGTCCCCCTGAGGACTTTGGATGTTCATGGCCCTCAGTGAGGGAGGCAGCTTGGCTAGTCCTTTAGCGTGGAGCATCTAGGCTGTCCGTAACCTGGAGCTGTTTCAAACATCTCTCCTGGTTAAGGATTTGATGTAAGATTCTCTCAGTCTTCTGTCTGGAGACTCTGTATCAGATTGTATTCTCCACCCTTCCATCTTCAGTACTTCACCTGCCAACACCACAGAAAATACTAGGCTTAATACATTAGACAGAGGTAACATTGAGAATCATGATCCCTTAGCTTGAATTCAGTGCCAAATTCTATCAGGATCCTTTACCAAACATTTTACCCTTAATCATTTTATCACTATATTACCTGTAACAACCCAAAATAATAATTTTTAAAAGTTTTCTTAATACTTAGCCCAGTTTAATTTTTTCTTTTAATTTTCAATTAAAAAAAACGAAGTGTGTGCTGTGCATGTTTTCCCTGCATGTATGTCTGTGCTCCACATGCTTGCCTGGTGCCCCTGGAGGCTCAAAAGGCCCCTTGGTTTCCCTTGAACTGGAGTTACAGGTGGTTACTATGTTGGTGCTGGGACTTGAACCCAGTCCTCTGGAAGAGCAAGTGCTTGTAACCACTGATCTATCTCTCCAGCCCCTTAGTTTAGTTTTCTTTAACGTTAGAATAAATCACAGTTGTTATGTGACGTCAGCCTTGGCAGTACTGATTAGCACCGTTGAAATGCACATGTAGGAAGTTCATCTTCACCTTCCTGCCGTCAGAAGCGGCTCTGGGCTAGTTCTCAGTCATCTCTGGTTCTTGGAACTTTGGGGGTTCCTCTTTCTCTTTGGTAGGAAGAATTCACCTCAGGAAAGGACACTCTGGAAACTCCCATAAAAAGAACCTTGCCATCAACAGCGTCATTTCCCAATTCTTATCTGTTTTCTTCTCTATAAGATATGTTAGGAGAGCACATTAGAGCAAAATAACCTTCCAGGAATTCAGTCTGTTCAGAAGGCTACAGGAGTGTGAAGGTCTTCACTTTAGGGCCCTGGCCTGTATAGATTTCCCCACCACTCCATAATTCATAAGTACTAAGTAGTGATGTTACCTTTGAACTAATGAAACATAGATTAAAATAAGTGATTCATTTGTATTTCAAATCCCGTTGTGAATAGATATAAATACATTTGCACTTCTGGATATCTTCCCTGTGGGATGTGAGTCTCCTGAGATGGCTTTGGAGTGGAGGGGAGCATGTAGGAGAAAGAAGACTATGGAATAAGACAAATATTGATAATGCTGCTTCTTAGTACTCTCTTAAAGCTTTAAAAAGCACAGCCCTGTAATAAAGGAATCCTTTTACTTTTCTTAATATACTGTCCCTGTATATTATAGTAGTGATCTCACAGTATCAGTCAGGTTTCCCAAGGCCCCACACGGGTGCCAAGGTCTTCAAATGTCCAAGAGCCTTGCATGCAATGGCACGGTGTTTGCCTAAAATATCTTCCCACGTACTCCAAATCAGACTTATCACACCCACACAATATAAACACCAGGCAAATGGTTAAAAGACTGTTTAGGAGATGATAAGGGAAAGGATATATACATCTTCAGTACCGACTCACGGTTTTTTCAAATGTTTCAATCCATGGTGCGTGAACTCAAGAGTGCAGAGCTGACGGATACAGAGGCAGACGGCCAATGGGTGCCGAGCACCCATTACATGTGAGTGCGTATAGACCCGGGTTCCTACGACAACGCAAACTGCCACTGTTCACAGTGTGCGCTAACCACCTGTGGCGGTTTTTTCCATTTTTTTTTTAATTAAGAATTTTTTTTTTTTTAGCCAGGAGGTGGCGATGCACACCTTTAATACCAGCATTCGGAAGGCAGAGGCAAAGGCAGGCCAATCTCTGTGCGTTGGAGGCCTGCCTCGTCTACAGAGCAAGTTCCAGGACCGGCTCCATAGCTACTGAGAAATCCTGTCTCAGAAAAATAAAAAATAAATAAATAAAAAGAAAAAAGAAAAAAAGAATTTTTCTAATACAATCTTTTTCACTTTACATAGCTATGCCCACTCCCACTCCCCCCTCCTCCTGCCCCACCCTTTCCCACACCCCAGCGCCCCCCCACATCCACTCCTCAGAAAGGGTTAATGCTTCCCATGGGGAGTCAACAAAGTCGACACTTCACTTTGAGGCAAGACCAAGGCCCTCCCCGCTATATCTAGGCTGAGCAAGGTATCCCTCCAAGGAGAATGTTCTCCTAGACACCAGTTCAAGCACTAGGGATAAATCCTGGTCCCACTGTCAATTCCCCCACAGACTGCCCAAGCCTCACAGCTGTCCCCCACATTCAGAAGACCTAGTTTGGTCCTATACAGGTTCCCCAGCTGTCGGTCCAGAGTCAGTGAGCTCTCACTAGCTCAGGTCAGCTGTTTCTGGGGGTATCACCATCATGGTCTTGACCTCTTTGCTCATATTATCGCTCCTCCCTCTCTTGGGCTGGTCTCCAGTAGCTCACCCCAGTGCTTAGCTGTGGATCTCTGATTCTGTTTCCATGGTGACAATCAGTGTAGTCCTCAATCCGATTATGGGAGAAGGCCAGTTCAGGCACCTTCTCCTGCCTCCCTCAATCAAAGCATCTCTTTCCTTTCTTTCTCTCTCTGTCCTTCTCCCTCCTTGAGCATCCAGTTCCCTCACGTTCTCTCCCCTTCTCCCTTCCCCCTCCCTTTTCACCCTCTCCCCCCCTTCCCGCCATACTCCCAATGTGGCTGTTTTCAAATCACCAACAGATAAGCCAGCCTCCCGCAGCACCTGGGAGAGTTTGAAGAATAAAAGGGGACCAGCTAAAGATCAGCTTTAGCTGGGGTGGGGGCACAAAGTGCTTCTGTGGAGTATGAGTTCACCTCGAGTTCTGCAAGATAAAACAGGACAGGAACATAAGGCCAAACATGGGACAGTTCCGGACTTCATTCTGGCCTTTTCTTTTGCAGCTTGGCACCAAAGAAGGTTACCTCACCAAGCAGGGCGGCCTGGTCAAGGTAAGGGAGCGTGGTTTGCTCTTGCCACCACAGGGAAGACAACAACCAGAGGCTCAACTCTTGACATCGACCGATTTTTTTATAAAGGAAAATTATAAACTTATTTTAAGCCACTTACATTGAATGAAAAATGGCTTGACTCAAGTTCTCTGGCAAAGCCCCGTGTAAGAGCAGCCTGCAGTACATATTAAAAAGGAAGCTCTGTGTAGCATGCTCAGTGAAAGGGTTAAGAACAAGGGGGGGAAAATTAACTTTCTGCTCTTTTTTGCTCTGTTTGTTTTACAAAAAGCCAAACTTTTATACAATGTTTACTGAAAGGTAGGCCAAATACATCACTGGTGCTTTAAGAAAGTTACGTTATACCATGCCAAGTTAAAGATAGTTTAGGTCTTTACACATCCAGGTCGCCTGACTGCTCCCCGTCTGCAATTGTCCTGTAAGTTCTCCTACATTTCCATGGTGTGTGGCCACTGTCCTCTCTTGTCTATCTCAGGGGTCAGAGTCCTTACCCCTCCTTTTCCTGGGAACAGCAGCTTGACTCTATCCTGACCAGGCAGTCACCCATGTCCTCCCTGGACTGAATGCTCCCTGAGGATGGGAAGCATACCTATTCATAGCCTATGTGTTGATTTGCTTGTTTCGTGTTCAGATAGGGTCTCACTCACAGCCCAGGATGATCTCAGACATGCAGTCTGACTCCTCAGTGCCCTCCGTGGTAGGATTGCAGGCACGGACGACCATGTCTAGCCTGGACGGCTTATTCCTGAATCTTCTATTGTCCCTTTTAAGTGGGCGCATTGCCAGCTGAGACAGATCAGAGCTTTGTTAGGACATAGGAGGGAAATAGCTACAGTTTTTGCTGTGAGTCCATGAGTCCTCAGGTAAAATTCAGAGTGTCATGTGGTTAGAGGTTCCTAAACCTCAACTGGCTTATTTGTGAATTAATAGTAATAATGATGATAATAATGATGATAGATGGCAATGCTTTATATGTGTTAGGTATATTTTACTTGATATACATTATATATAAATAAAATTTCAAGAGTATACATCTGTATAATCTTGAATATATCTGTAATATATACTCCTGTATATGTACTCTTGTATATGTACCCTTGTATATGCACTCTTGTATATGCACTCTTGTATATGCACTCTTGTATATGTACTCCTGTATATGTACTCTTGTATATGTACTCTTGTATATATACTCTTGTATATGTACTCCTGTATATGTGCTCTTATATATGTACTCCTGTATATGTACTCTTGTATATGTACTCTTGTATATGTATATACTCTTGTATATGTACTCCTGTATATACACTCCTGTATATGTACTCTTGTATATATACTCTTGTATATATACTCCTGTATATGTACTCTTGTATATGTATATACTCTTGTATATGTACTCCTGTATATATCTGTAAATTTCTGGTGTGGGGATATAGCTCACAGGAGGTTCTCAAAACTATTATCTACTTTAATTATGGTATTAATAAAATGGAAACTTGAGTAGCTCGTTACAAGTCGCCTTGAGTGTCTACAACAGCTTCATCTATTCATTTAAATAAGCTAGTGGTATTTCTATTGTGATCTTAGAACATAAGATCCTATTATTTTTAATAGCTATTTTGAAACTTTTCTCAAAAATTATACATGAAAATATTTTAGGCATATTTTATCTAATCATTTATATACTTTTAAAATGAAAATAAACTGTCAAGTTTAGATATTACATTCTGTACCCAAAACTTCATTTTTTTTTTTAATCCTCCTCAGACCTGGAAAACAAGATGGTTCACTTTGCAAAGGAATGAGCTGAAATATTTCAAAGACCAAATGGTGAGGAAGACATCCGTACCCCACTCCCCGTTAGAGTTCAGTTCTGTAAGGTTCCCGGCATCCTCTGAGAGTCTAGAGACCTGAGCTCTTTTCCCTGTGTACCTGTCTGTGACGGGGGTGGGGCCCACTTGCCAGGGAGTCTGTGTGGAGGCTGGAGGACAAGCTGTGGGAGTTGTTTCTCTCCTTCAGAAATGTGGTTCCTGGGAATGAAACTCTGGTCATCAGGTTTGATTTGACCACAAGCCTCTTTAGCCACTGGGCCACCTTGTCAGCCTGATCTGCCCTGGCTCTGAAAAGCAGTTTGCCTCCTGGAAGCTGCTCTCGGGTCGGTTCAGCTGTCGCTCTGTGGGGCACATGGTTCCCTCTGTTTGGGACCGTGGAATCCTTCCCTTGTCACACTTTATTGACTGTCCCTATGAATCAGTGTCCCCTTTTATTTAAAGCACATTCATTGCTCGGGTCCATTTTGTCACACCTCCTTAAAATGATCTCCCTTCTTTTTGGTATACAAATTTTCTGCAAAAGTGGAAGTTTATAAAAAGATGGGCGAAAATACCACTCCTTTCCATGTGTTGGAAATCTATCTCTGTTTGATGTAAATTGTCAAAAGCAACATCTTTTTTCAAGTAGATCTGTTTTAAGTTATGTGCGTGAGTATGTGTCTGTTTTTTGGGTGTGTGCACATGAGTATTGGTACCAGGCTGAAGGCATGGTGCCCTTTGGTGCTGGAGTTACAGGCAGTTTTGAGCTGCCTGATGTGGGTGCAAGAGCAGGTCCCCCTCTTAAACAGTGAGCTACCTGTTCAGTCCAACAATGTCTTCCCACTGCTTAATCTGTGAAAGGCTAGTTCCCAGAACCCAGGTTGTGCCTTCCCATCATCTGTAGTGACATTTCATTTGTATTTTAATAAGTAATGCTTGCCTGAAGATCAGAGAGTAAAACAGCTCCACTGGTCAGCCTTACAGACCAGGCAGTGGTGACACACACCTCTAATCCCAGTAGCCACACTAGTTTGCCCTAGAAACCAGGCGGTAGTGGTGCGTGCACACCTTTAATCCCAGCACTAGAGAGGATTATAAAATGGGAGGAGACAGCCCTCAGGCTCAGTCTCATTCTGAGATTCCTGGAGGCAGGATCACCATTTCGGGCTGAGGGAGAGTAGAGGTAAGAACCAGCTGCTGCCTGTTTTGCTTTTCTGACCTTCGGGTTGAACCCCAATTTCTGTCTCTGGGTTTTTATTAATTGTGCTCCAATCGTTTGATATCTTCATGAAAGGAAATGGAGAGCTGCACACAGCAGAAACCTCGTTAAAGGGTGAGAGATGGACACACGCGTGTGTTTATCACAGTTTGCTTTCTTCCCCAGTCACCAGAACCAATTCGGATCCTAGACCTAACGGAGTGCTCAGCTGTCCAGTTTGATTACTCCCAGGAAAGAGTGAACTGTTTCTGGTAAGTTGCTTTCATATAGGAAATGTTTCCAAATGCCTGTTAAGCCAAGGAATAGAAGCCGACCCCATGTGTACTTGACAAGATGCTCGCATGGGCCTAACCCAAGGCCATTGACGTTAGCGCCTCCAGCTGCAGAGCACACAGTGGCTCCAACAACGAGGCGGGGTGGCTAGGTTCAGACTGTGAGCTAACTACACAGCTGGAACCCATGCAACATTCATAGGCTCTGGACCATTGAGGGGGCTCAGCTGAGTAGACTCATATTCCACAGAAGATATAAATGGCAAAAAGACGGGGGTGTGCATACACTTCTTTGAAGGCTCTCGGGAGACTATAAGCCTCGCCTGTAATAATAGAAACTTAAAACTTCCTAGCTATTTCTGTCATGGCTGGTAGAAATTGCTCGGTATGCACCGATTCTTCAAAATCACCATGATAATTGTGAGAGCCCCCATCCACTCTTCTTCCCTTGGAAGAAGCTCATACTGTCGAACCAGGGTCTATACAACTAGCCATACTGACTACCACACATTCCCGCTTTTGTTTTCGTCAGCTTAGTGTTTCCATTCAGGACATTCTATCTCTGTGCAAAGACAGGAGTTGAAGCTGATGAGTGGATCAAAATACTGCGATGGAAGTTGGTGAGTTGCACAAGTCTCCAGAGGTCTAGTCTTGATAGCTAACATGCTGATGACTGCCGGTAGACTTCGGCTGTCAGAGCAGGCCCTAGAAATCAAAGGGAACTCTGTGTGCCACCTTGCAGGATAATCTGCGCATGCTTAAAGGTTGTAAAATGGAAGAGGAGGTTGTGAGAAGGAAGGGGGGCATTGTGTTTGGGTTTCAGTTTAGCCTTAGCTGCAGCTGCTGGCAGTCAGGTGTAAGGCATGTTGGTTAGCCCCATTTTGTCTGGAAGAGAGTACTGGGATGGGAGGGTCTCAGAGAGGAACCTTGACACGTGCTTCAACTTGGAAAGCCTTTAAATTGTCAAGGAGGGAGCTGGGGAAGGAATTTGGTTCCCAGTGTAAGCTGCACCTTGTGTGTATCAAGAACCTAAGGTGTTTTATCTTCCTGCTGTGTACTTCCCTAAGGGGAAGACAGTTAAAATAATTTACCAGCCTTTACATTTTTCACCATGTGTGTTATAGAGTTGATAGCCAAGAACAAGCTTTCTAAAATTTCCTGTAAGTGTGATATGTTGGTAGAATTTTTCATTGCGGCCACTGGTCAGCTCTGTGCCACCAACCGGCTTCCATATAGCCATATAGAGACTTATTATTGATTGTAAATGCTCAGCTGATAGTTTAGACTTCTTACTAACTAGCTCTTTCATCTTAAATTAACCCCTATTTCTTATCTATGCTCTACCACATGACAGTACCTTTTCTCAGTAGAGTGTGTCCATCTGCTTCCTCTGCATCTGGCTGGTGGTTCTGCCTCCTTCCCCCCTCTTCCCCGCCTAATCTCTACCTGCATACCTATTGGCCATTTAGCCCTTTAGTAAAACCAATCCGAGTGGCAAATCTTCACAGAGTACAAAAGGAGTATTCCACAGCAGTAATATATTAGTCTGGTTTTTGTTTCTCTCATGAAATACTTGAGGCAAGCTACTTATGAAGTACCCGGGGTTCACAGTGTTTGAGGTTCAAGGGTATAACACACGCTTAGCTTCTGAGGAAGACCTCTTGGTGGAACATAAAGACAGGGACATGTGGAGGATGGAAACCTCAAACTTCCAAACAGAAAGCCAGAGATCAAGCAGGGTTGAGAGTGTGTGGGTCAAGCTCAGACTTTTAGAACTCTCTCCAACGGCAGTGTACCAGTAACATAAGGACCTCCTAGTAAGTCCCTTCTTTTAAAGACCTGATCACACCAATGCCACCATCCTTGGGAACAAGCCTTTACATATTTATTGAATTGAAACCTTTGGTGTACTCAAAGGCAAAATACCTTTATCCTTATCTGTGTGTGTGCATAATTATTATTGTATTATAGGCAGTGTCTGAAAATGGATATTCTTAAGGCCTAGCTTATAGCTTAGGTGTGTATGTTTGTGTGTGTGTGTGTGTGTATATATTTGTGTGTATGTATGTGTAATTATTGTAACTTGTATCTATAGGCAGTGTTTGAAAATGGATATCTTTAAGGCCCAGCTCAGGTGTGTGTGTGTGTGTATGTGTGTGTGTATGTTTGTGTGTGTGTAATTATTGTAACTTGTATCTATAAGCAGTGTCTGAAAATGGATATCCTTAAGGCTCAGCTTATAGCTCCGTGGTAAGAACAGTCCTCAGTCCTCCTTGGTTAAAAAAAAAAAAAAAGAAAAAAGAAAGAAACAAAAAACAAAAAGAGGGGCTTGCTGTGAACATTGTTGAGCGTCCAAGGGTTTTGGGTTGCTTGTTTTGTTTTGTCTTTTGCTTTGTTTTGTCTTTTGGTCTGAAATTTAAGTTAACACGGTGCTCATGTTGAGACTGCTCCCGTGCTGATTCTGAGGGGGGGGAGCTTTGTTATGGCCAACCTGGGCTGAAATGACTATTCCATGTGCTTTGTTATTGTCTGAGTGACACCTGGTTATTATAGAAAATTTAAATTGAAAAGTAGTTCAAATCCACACTTTCCTGGACAACTGGAGCTTTAAGAAAGCAGCCCTTCTCTGCTGACTTTCATCAGTTCCCTCCACTTAACAGTCTCTCCCAGCATCTTTCTAAGCCACAAACGCAGACCTGAATCTTCCTTTTGTTTGAGCAGTGTTGTATTATGCTTTCCCAGAAGAAGTACATCGATTCCCAGAGTGTTCACACTGTAAAGCCATTCTACAATGTCTGGAGGGAAAATTAAAAGCAAACATTAAGAGGGCTATGTCTCCTTACTCTTTCACTCTGTATCTCAATGACTCAACGATAGCTATACCTATGTTTTATTACAGTCAAAAATAAGAAAACAGCTGGATCAAGGAGAGGACACTGTCCGAACTCGGTCATTCATCTTCAAATAGAACTTTCTTGGCTCAAGGGCAAGGTGGAATGCTCCAGGTGCTCTGATCTGTGGCAGGCTTCAGAGGAAAGATCATTAAGGAAGTTCCTCAAAAACAAACAAACAAACAAACAAACACAAAGCAGACTGTAGTCAGGAGCTGGATGCTGTTTGCTGATTCACAGAAAACTGCTGGCAGGACCTGGCCATCTGCTCAAGAACAGGGACGCAGCACCCCGCTGGCTGCTGGAAACTGCCTACCCTCCACTGCCAGGTGGAGCCACTCAGAACACAGCGCAAGACCTGGTTTGCTCTCTCAGTGGCTTAGGCTTGTTGACTTTAGTTGCCTGGCGTCCTGCCCCAAGTCACGCCCAGCACAACTAAGCTTCAGACATGTTCTTAAACAGCAAGAATGTGGCAATATGTTGGGAGTGCAGGCTCTTTTAGGAAGCAAAACAAGATAATAAACGCCAAAGACTTTGAAAGGAAGGGCTGTTTTTTTGTTGTTTATATATGAAAACCTCAAGTAGGACTGAAGAGGTGGCTCAGCCATTAAACGTGCATCTGCTCTTGCAGAGAACCTGAGTTCAGTTTCCAGGACCCACATCAGATGGCTCGCAAACACCCATCACTCCATCTTCAAGGGGATCGGACACCTCTGGCCTCCTTGGGCAACTGCGCTCAGGCACACATAGGCACATGCAAATGATGCAAAAAACAAAACAAAAAATATTTTTAAAAAAACGTTTCCAAAATATGAGAAAATGTTCATTTTGTTTATTTTTCCTTTTAAGAGACTTAGAAATCAGACGGGCGCCACGCCACGTTTGACAACCGGAGAGGGATCCCTAAAACTCACGTAGAGGTGGAAGCAGAGAACCATCTGCACAAAGTTCTTCTTCGACCTCTACATGTATGTCAGCATGTGTGATTCCCCACGTCACACATAACGAACATAATAATTGTTTTTTTTTTAAAGCTTAGAAATCCAGAGGATCCTTTACTCCTAATGATAAACTGTGAGAACTACATGTCTTGTGGGTAACTGGGTAGATAAATGGATTAACATATAATAAGGAGTGAGGATGTTTTAAACAGCAAGAAACTGCACACTGAAGGGTGATAAGCAGTGGGTGACGTTTAGTTTAATGGTTGTCATTACAAATGTAATAACACACTTATAGCACTAAGTTCTCTTCAGCTGCCGTTTCTTCACATTGATTGAGGCCTCCCCATAAAGGATGCCCCGTCTCTTTCCAGGGTAGGCTGTATGAGAATAGCCCTATGAAGCACCCCAAGATTATTAAAAGACAACTTCTGTTAAGTTACATAGCTGTTGCAAACTAGGATCCCCAATGACAGACCGGTGTTCAGGGGCCATGAACAGGTCTTGATTTCTATTATCACTGTTGATGTGGCTTTTAAGGACAGAAGTTAGAAGGGTGACGAGCCAGCAGGTGGTGCAGAGCTGGCGGAACTCCGTTCTCGCAGCACAGACAGTGGGCAGCATTTTTGCCAGTGTGACCAAGACACTTGAGCGAACAGCTGATCGGAATGATTGCTTCATGGTTCTTGATGTCTCAGCTCACCATGCTTAGGGTGTGGTGTAGCTGCTACTGTCAAAGCAGGCAGGGATCTGAGCATGGCAGGAACAGGAAAGGGAGGAGCCAAGACGAGAGACCCCAGGAAGACATTCTGAGTGGCCCACTTCCAACCAGGCCCCATCTTCCACATTCTGTCACATCCTAGTAACCTGTTCAGATTCTGATCCATTTGGATGAAATAAATGAGCTAAACCTGTCATTAGGTCAGCTCTCTCACTGGATGCTTTCAAGGACATACCCACAATAGTTCTGGTATTTCTCATTCATGGTACCTTGTTAAATTTTTTTTTCTGTTGCTTATACAGCTAAGACTCAGAAATTGTTTTTTCAAGAGGCTTTTTGGAGTTGGATTGTGGATCAGTTGTAGAATGCTTACTGCAAGGAGGGACATTTAATTTGCTGTGTTTGTGTTGTATGGAATAAAGCAATGTCAAGATAAAATGTATTGTGTCAAGTTTGCAAAATAAGGAGTAACAAGGGCCTCTCCTTGAGATGTATTGTTTTGTTTCCTTAGAAACAAGTGTTTTTCCTCATGTGTTAAATATTCTTTTTACTTTCTGTAAAATTTGTTTATTTATATTCTTTGGTTCTGTTTACTAAGTAAAAAGTACATGATTTTGTCGTACATGTCCAGTATTGTTATTATAACATTTTTATTGCTTTCAAAGTAGAACAACATGGAAAAGGCCAATTAGATACTGGTACATTAGTGGCTTATTTAAGGCGCTGCTTGGACTGCCTTTTTGACAAGCACGACTTCACTTGCCACCTGGAACAGAATGACCTGGCGAAATAGCTGCTTCAGCGGGTGGTTGCCCTTAACAACTGCTGACTGCCACCGGAAACTTCTGTAATCTGACTTGCTTGCCCGCCCACGTTGTGGGTTTAGAGTATAAAATGAGACTACGAACTGGACCCAGGGTGGAGGCCTTTCAGGAGCCTCTCTTCCACTCCCATCAGCGGGGGAATGCTTTCTCCAGAAAGATTCCCATAGACTTTTAAAATTTAAATACAACTGATTAATATCCTAAATAGCAATGGCACTTCACAGAAGACTGGAAGCTTGGGAAATATGACATTCCTCCAGGGATTTAGTGGAATATGAAAAGAGCAGTAGACACACACACAGAGACACATGTGCACGCACACACAGCAGTCAATGCTGTGAGGGGGTCTGGAAAGCAGTGGAGGAGAGTGGGCAGGGCCCTAGACCATCTGTTAGAGGGACTGACAGGAAATGGGGGAACTACCACACACACACACACACACACACACACACACACACACCTATTTGCCTAGGACCTGGTCACACACTTTGTCTGTTCTTGGCTGTCCAGTGAGAGTGTCATGCTTTTATCTCCAGAGAAGAGCCGGGGGGGGGGGGGGGGGGGCCCTCTTGGCTAGGTTCCCAAATCCAAAATAGCAGAAGGGAAGGTGTTATATGCAGAGGGCAGATCAGAGCAGGGGGATGTGGGAGAAAATGAGTGAGGTATGTCTCTCCAAGTTCCCCTAAGACAGCCAAACGTTAGCCATTACTGTCAAAATTCCTTCTGGGAAAATCTTGTCCCACATATTCCTAGTAGGGCAGTAAACTCTCCCCTTGGGCAAGGGAAGACTAGCGCAGCTGGAGAAGCTAGCCCCTGCTCCAGGGCCCCTGGGCATCGGAGCACTGAGGGGTCCCTCTCTATCCCCCTCATCCCTACTCAGGTGGTATGCGGCAGTGCCTTAGCCTCCCTGTCCCCATCCTGATGATGTGAACCCGCTGGGGCGAGACTATAAAGACTGTGACTGAGGACATAAGAGCCTACTTCCCTCTCCTTCCACACTGCAGACCATCACTAAGCTCTTCCTCACCAAGGAAATCATACAGTGGAGGGCCAGGCTGTCTACTCAAGGCGTCAAGTAGAGTTGTTTAGCCGCCTGTGCTGGAGGACTGGTTATACTTTTTAAAAAAGTTTCTGGCCTATCAGACAGGGCTTCTATAAGTCATTAAAAATGATTTAAGGGGACTGGAGAGAGGACCAGAGAGAGGTTCCTAGCACCTACATCAGAGAGGTCACAACCATCTGTAACTCCAATGCCTCTTCTGGCCTCTACAGGCACCCATACACATGCCTTCCCCCCACCACACACATACCCATAAATAATAAATTAAAATCAAGTGAAATTATAAATCTGATTTGAAATACCAGATTCAGCAGACATCAACTTAGTATAGATGATGATGATGATGATGATGATGATGATGATGATGGTGGTGGTGATTGGTGCTAGGTAGTAGTTAAGCATCTATTATTTTCTACCAGTATAGAACAGCCTGGGCTATGGACCACATTCTGAGTAGCACAGGTTCAGCTGTTCAGCATGCAAAAGAGGGAGAGCCCACTTGGGAAGGAATCTTTGTGAGGTTGGCAGACATTGGGATGCAAATGTGTAGTTAACAGAGTTGGGCAGGACTCATTCAATCAGCTGACAGATCTCTACAGAGAGAAAGAGGCCTGGGTGGAGATGGTCTCCATCTCTGGGCATACTCCACAGTTGCACTTCCCAGGTTCTTGCACCAAACCCTTATAATGAATACACATACACATAAGCCCCATTGATCTGCTCGAGAACCGATACAACTTTCTCCGCAAGTATCTCATTTCTTGTTGCTTGAAGAACTTTAAATTTTTTTTACTTATTGTTATTGTGAGTGTGGCCAATCTGAGCTCGCTCCCCAGAATTCCACAGGAGAGAACTGACTTCCAAGTTGTCCTTTGACCATCACACATGTACAGGTGTGTATGCACACACAACACTAAATAGGTGGGATTTTAGTTATTCTAGTTTTATGTTACCTTTGCAAAAGAATATTTAGCAATTCCCATCTGCCTGACTTTACAAATAATTGATAATGTATCCAGACATTCCCTGAGACAGAAACTCTACAGTAGCATAAACAGTTAATGATCTTCAGGTTACACACACCTACTCGCACGTCTTTCTTTGGGGTGTTCAGATGATGCAACCACTCTTTCCTGCAGTACTGAGGATCGAGTCCTGGGCCTTACGCCCGCCAGGTGAGTGCTCTGTCGCTGAGCAGCAAGTCTATCCTTTCAAACAAATTTGTTTGAGAATGCCAGAGTTGCCCAGGCTGGCCTTAAACTTTCCATCCTTCTGCTCCAGCCGTCCCCACAGTTGGCCACTTATACAATGATCGCCTCAATAACAAGTTTGCTACTTTATTCTTCTTTGTTTTATGCACCACATTACTGGCAAGAACTTTCCAGACATCAAGTGGTAACCCAGACAGTAAGAATTCTGCATTTTACTGGGTGCATCTCATAGCTGACAGGTTAGAGCTCAGCAGAGACTGACTTTGTTGTCACGTGCCCTAAGCAGCCCTGCTTTGTGGCTGTGGAGTGGCATCTGCCCCACTCTCTCACAGGACTCTGCACGCCTGGTTCCTTTCCTCACAATTCATCTCCTACTGGACTGCTTCATGCGGAATCCGAGGACAGTGCTAGCACCAACTCCAACGTGGAAAGCCGTCCCAAGAGCAGACATTCCAGGCCAACGTCGCCTCTACAGCTGTGCAGTGGGAGCGCTGGAGACTGGCGCACGGGCAGTGCCTGTGAACTGAGTCACCCCAGCGACAAACTGACAAGGAGAGTCATGGCTGAGCCACTCCTGAACCTCTTAGGCATATCTAGCAGATAAAACCTCGTTCCTCGTGATTCAGTCAGACCCATGGATGATGCTTTGACAGTTTATACTAGGTAAAACAGTCTCCAATACAACACCCACAAAAAGCAATCACTGCTTATTCATGTGGCTGGAGGACAGAATTAATTATGTCCATTACAGTCTGAAAGTCTGAAAGAAGAGGCCTATACAAAGCTCATTCTGTACTTTTAAAAATACTATTTTATTTATATTTGTGTATGAAAAAATGGCTATACTGTCATTTTCATATACATACTGATACTGGAAACAGAACTCAGTAACATGGCATTTCCGATGTAGAAAGAACACAGTCATTAACGCACTGTTACGGGAAGAGAAGAGACGGCATGAGCAGTGACTCGCAGTCTCACTCAAGAGCAGCACCCTCGGAGAAGAACCAACTCCATTAGTAACACTCATCTACTGGAGATCACAGACAGAGGAGGTTAGTGATTGTACTTACTTTATTATTTTACCAAGCCATTCATCTTCCTCACACTCAATACAAAGAAATAAAATATAATCTTAAGAAAAATACGCCCTCATTATTATTCTCATAAGCGTCTCTGTGGCCTGTGGCCTGGGAGCTCTGTGCAGCAGGTGTGCTTGCTGGCTCCAGAGCATCCGTGTGCCATTCTGATCCCTATGACGGGACAGACGCCACTCTTTATCGAACATCCACACTAACTCCATGGGAGCTGCACTAGAATGAACCATTTTTGTGGCGTTCCCAGATCTCACTAAGTAAGAAAAGACTTTATACACATAAATATAACAATTGATCTGTCTATAAATTACAGCTCCAGGCTCTCCTTTAGTGTAAGGTGGAAGAGCGGCCCTCTGGACACATAGATAGATACAAGTATTACTGTGGTCTAAAGATTGCTGGACTGGCAGGGTGTTGTTGCGGTGAAGACAAGGAAGACATCAAATCCATTGTTAGGTTAGGACACTTCCACAACTTTTATCAGCTCTTCAAATAACGGAGCCAGTTCCTTTTCTAGGCTGACAATTAGTCCTAAAAGAGATTTAAGAAATTAGAATGTTAGAAAATTCTTATGAATGCTGAGCTAAAAATCAACCCTCGTGAGGGTTTGTCAGAGCATCTCACCACAGCAACAGAAACTAAGAAACTAAATTCTCAGTCATGCTCAACTTGTTTGTAAGTATTCAAAATCTTAAAATTGTAATTTAAATGATGGGTCTATAGAATGAAGTCATTTTTAGCATCAAATGTGGCCTGCTTATGTTCTGTAACCCTTCATTTCCGTGGGCTGTTTTAATGTGAGCTATAAAATAACACACGAACCATAATGCGGATCTGACTAGCTTCTACTGCACCAAACCAATCTCTTGACCATCCCATTTGCATATGGAAATACCCCGGACGATGGAGAAGGCCTGGTTCTGCAGACATGGGAACTAGGAATCAAGTTCAAGAGGCACAAATGCAGGTGGTTGACAACAGCGGCCACCAGGCCCGGCTCCAGGACAGTACTGTAAAGCATACAGTCGCATGCGCAGGCCATCCTTCTAACATACCTGTGTTGGCATTGCTGCTGGCGATGAAGCTCACCACCAGAGGTAAACGATTGAATTGAACCACCTGGAAGGAGAATAAGCTCTAAATCGCATGCTGCACGGTGAAAACACAGTTATGATTCAGCTGGAACAACAGATTTAAACAGTTGATCACTGAGCTTTCCAGGCAAGTCTCTGTCACAACAGAGGAACCATGCTGAGGAACCCCAGCTGTGCCAGCTAACGGCACCATCTACTGGAGCTGACAGTGACCTAAGGCGCACTTCACAGGCTAAGCTCTTAATTTTTAAAGTTTTAAGTATCTTTCCACAACAATTATTTTCTGATATAAAAACATCAAAAAACCCTAGTTTTAATATAAGTACTCTGAAGGTTAAATTTTTTTTTTTAAAAAAATTTGTGTTCCTCATATTAAAATTTAGAATTATACCAAAAACAGCTCATACAAAAGATATAAAAAGGACAGGTGAGCCAGTGAAGCACTGGCAGCTATACACTGAATATACCAACCTGGTAGGTGTTATAGTAACAGATGATACTTTTATTTTTGGAAAGTCCGAGTTTGCTGCCTTGATCTGTCGCAAGGGCGAAGGTGGACAAGAAGCCAGGCCTCAGGGCATGCTCTGGAGCGCTGTCGTTAGCCACTGTGGAATGAGCGGTAAATAAAATTATGCAGAACATGGCAGGAAGAGTTTAACAGCAACTTTCAAAAGAGGATAAGACCATAAAAACCTAGATACAAAGGTACATTTACAGTGCTGAAAACCCCACAACTACTACCTGGGTCTCATCAACTCAGATGAGAAAAAATTACTTAATCAGAAGTTCAGTATTCATAACTCAGGGAAGATATGCTGACTTCCACAATGCAGTGACTATTCTGGTCATCTGAGGATATGTGAGAATAAAATGGGAAAAACTACAAAATTGTTTGCTCTCATAAAACCCCTGGAAGCAGTGTCTCTCGTATAGCTGGCTGCCTGCTTCAGGTCCCCTCGCTCACTAAAGGTTGGACTAGGCTAGCTGTATCAGCTAAGCAAGGATTCTGTGAAATGAACCTAGGGCTGCAGAGTCACCCGAGCCCTCTTTTTTTTTTTGTTTGTTTGTTTTTTTTTTTATTATTTATTTTATTATTATTTGTTTTTTTACAAAAGTTTATTACAATGTACAACAGGCTCCAGGATAACACTTCATTCTAACTGTAGGTGGCAATGATGTTATAGTAGGGAATCCAGATGTTTAACAGGCTCCAGGATAACACTTCATTCTAGCTGTAGATGGCAAAGATGTTATGGCAGGGAATCCAGATGTTTAAATAGGAATGGAAGAGGGTCACCATCATCTCAGATATGAGGAACAGCTTACTTTTTGCCAGATTTCTTAATTCCACCTGTGGCCAGGGGTCCCTTCCCCGCGGCCTTGGCTTTTAGCTCCTCGAGTTTCTTCTGCTCCTCTTTTTGTTTCTGCTTGAAAGCCTTATCTTCCTCATCCATTTCCTTGGCCTGCTTCTTGGGCTGTTTCAGGGGCTTCTTTTTGCCACCTTCCCGGCCCGACATGGCGCCTCCAAACACCCCCTTCTCCAGACCCTGATTCTAAGCCGGAAACGGAGCTTACTACTCCCGAGCCCTCTTTAGAGGTGAGAAAAGGCAGGTGACCTGTCTACAGCCGCCCACGGACAATGGACTCTGTCACGGCTTGTCACCAACTCAGTGCACGGCTCCGGACAGGTTAATGTGTAAAATGGAAGAACTAACCCAGGTGACCTCTAAAGAAGAAGGTTGTAATCCTAATGTATAAAATTATAGTCTGTCTGTCCTGATGTGGAAAAAAACCCTGTAAACTACAGGACCAAAATATATATATATATATATGGGCCTGTAGGTTGAAGATGGATGTCCCAATGATATAGAAGAACTTTGGGTGACTGTACAGGCAGCAAGATGTCCCTGTCAATTCTAGAGTTTTAAAAGTTGCTTACAATGCACTTTCTGCTAACTTAAGTAATATTATATCCTTCTGGGGTCTTTTGAAGAGTTGAAGAAAAATACAGTTTTCCTTAGTTATAATAAAAAATAAAATAAATATAAATATTGTAACTGTAATTCTTGCTTGATATCTTTTTTGCTGTATGTAATCTTGCTATGTTAAAGTTAAAACCATTCTTTTTATTTAGACAGAAAAGGGGAGATGATGTGGAATTCCCCTCTGTATGCTGTAAATATTTTTATTGCCATTGGCTAATAAAAAAAGCTGCTTTAAGTCAATGGCTTAACAAAGTGACGCCAGGCAAAAAAATCTAAACAAAGATATAGAGAGGAAGTAGGCAGAGTCAGAGACACCATATAGCCACCAAAAAAAAAAAAAACAACAAAAACAAAAACGTGAGCCACTAGCCAAAACCTTACCAGTAAACCATAAGCCTCGTGATAAAATATAAAACAATAAAAATGGGTTAATTTAAGATGTAAGAGTTGGTTAATAAAAAGCCTAAGCTAATAGGCGAAGCGATGATATAATTAATATAGTTTCTGCGTGATTATTCAGGTCTTGGCCAAAAACAAGTGAACAGTCACCACCTACAAATATCCACTTGGATCACGTCACATGACACAAAAGTAAGCAATCTGAGTACACACTGACTCTGTTACAGCAAATGCATGTTAAAAAGAGCTGATAATCAGCCAAATTCATGTTGGGTGGATCAAAACACATTGTGTACACATATGACAGTCTCAGGAATAAAGATGCCTTTTCTAAAACTTCTTAAATTCAGATCAACTAAAGTAATTATGACATTAAAGTTTAAAAAAAAATTTCTAGGGCTGGAGAGATGGCTCAGTGATTAAGAGCACTGATTGCTCTTCCAGAGGACCCGGGTTCAATTCCCAGCACCCACATGGCAGCTCACACATGTCTGTAATTCCAATTCCAGGGAATCTGACACCTTCATAACAATAAATAAAATAAAGGTTAAATAAAATAAAATAAAATGTTCTAAAAAATATTTCTAATAAAGAAGCAAAAACCCATGTAAGATTTAAAAACCACCACTAATCTGAACTAGTGATGTGGTACAAGGATGACCACCTGCCTGCCATGTACACTCAATACTAAAGATGTATTTAGTAGTTTCCATTATACCATAAGCATCTTCAATGAAAAATTGGGCCTACTGTTGTTAGTATTCAGGCATGTACCGGCCTGCTGTTGGGGTTCTGATAGCCACATCCTCAGCCACAGCCGCGTAGAGCACCTCCTGTGCATATTTGTTCCCTGTTCAAAGGGCCCTGCCCACCTCCCCTTTCTCCCTTTTTCTGTCTGTCTGTCTGTCTGTCTCTTCTGCTGCTTCTCTCCCCAGGGGCCGGTCTCCCTTCTTCCCTCCCCCCTTTTCCCATTCACTTTCACCCAAAAAAAGAAAAAAAAACCTCTTCATGTGAGTTCTGTCACATGGCATCTTTCTCTCTCAGGCTGCATTTTTCTACATGATATCTACGGTAAATGGTAAATTCGTGCAGATTCTAGGTTCTGCAGACATGGAATCCACTACAGGTTCCACACCCAGTCTCCAACAGACAAAAGTACATATTTCCTAAAAACTAAAACAGTCTTCCCAATTTGTTGAAATAAGCTTTATACATTTGTAATTATTTAAAACACATTTTTTTTGTCCAAAGTAAAATGCACGAAGCACTCAGTTTACCTTTAATAACAGGCACCCCGTCTCTATCTGATACAACAATTGCATGGAGCCCTTCAACGCTACAAGAAAGCAAAATTCAGTATTACAAAATCATTTTGATTTCTACAAACATGTACCTCAGACTCATGATGGTAATTCTCAAGTGTGTGTGTGTGTGTGTGTGTGTGAGAGAGAGAGAGAGAGAGAGAGAGAGAGAGAGAGAGAGAGAGAGAG